TTATGATGTAGTTAAATTTCGTGTAATTTAGAAGAGAACCAGTAATTTCATAGTATTAGTGAAGATCTACTGTGCCATGTGCTGCGTCGCAACTGCACCACGCTGCGCCATACTGCGCATTACTGTATCACACTGTGTCACTGTAATACGAAAACATGTATAAATACAAGTGCTAAATAATTAATAAAAGTTCAAGTTCTCTTGGTTCGATTTAAGTTCTTTTGGTTCAGTTTAAGTTCCCCAGTTTATAATTGAAGTTTCTTTTGGTTTCATGTTGGGTTTGACATGTTAAATTGATTTTATTTTGGAATTATAAATACTCTTTGGTTAAGTTTACCTTTAGTTTAGTCTTGTTATTAGTTTAGTATCATTGTCACTTTTATCTTGTCAAGAAACATTATTTATCATCATAAACACTATTTAGTCATAATATTCAAAGTAAATTGCCGTGAACACAGTCACTATTGTCATTTTGAAATACTTTCATACGCAAAAGCTCAAAACGGTAACAATAGTTACACCTATTTATAATCACATCTCTCTATAGTTACCCTATTTTACTTTTTCATTTATATATAAATATAATTAAAAAACTCCTTTATAGTTACATTTTCTTTATAATCACCAAAGTTTGCTTTTCCGAGAATGGTGACTATAGAGAGGTTTGACTGTATTTTACTTGTTTATAAATTATTATCATAATTATTATATTATATATATATTAAATTATAAGAAAATTTCTTAAGTCACTTTTCAGCTAACTAGTATTTAATAAATATATATTATCATTTTTAGTTATTTCTCTTACTTGATTTAAAATATGTTGTACGTGTAAAAAGATATAGTATTTTAAAAACTCAAGTAAAACAGTAACAATATCAAAATTACTTACTTATATTAAAATTCTTTAATAATACTGAAATTATTTATTATATTAAAATTTATTTACTGCATTATTTTGATATTACTGTATCATTTTAATATTACTTGAATAATATTAAAATTACTTATTTATGTCAAAATTCTTTGACAATGCCAAAATTCTTTAACAATGTCAAAATTATTTATTATATCAAAATTTATTTATTGTATCATTTTAGTATTATTATATTATTTTAATATTACTTTAATAATATTGAAATTACTTATTTATATTAAAATTCTTTAACAATGCTGAAATTATTTATTATGCTAAATTTATTTACTGCATTATTTTAGTATTATTACATTATTTTAATAATAATAATTACTATTTATAATAAGAGTTTTGGTATTTTAGCATTTGTTAAAAAAATTTTGATAAGCATTCTTATATATAATATAACTTAATCATATAATAAATTATTATTTATATTTTTTTGTTATTTATAAAAACAAATTTTATAATTTGTTATTTTATTAACTTTTAAATATAATATTATTTATAAAAATAATAATAATTATTTAAAAGAATATGTTATTTATTGTTATTTTTATAAAATTTTTTATAACTTTATTATTTGTCAATACTATAATAAGTCATATGAAAAACTATATATTCAAATTATATATTAAAGTTATATAATTTTGAATTTATTTAATTAAAATATAAATAATTAAATATTAAATAATGAATATAATAATTAATAAAATATATTAATTTATATCAAAATAAAGATTATAAATTATATTTTAATATATTTTATTTAAAGTTATTGTATTTTAATATAAATTTTTATAATAAATTACTGGAAATCCAAAAAAAGTATAGTAAAAATTGAAATTATTTTTTTATAATAAAATTTGTATTTTTATTAATAAATATTTTTTGTTTTTATATCAAAATAAAGCTAAAAATTTGTATTTTAACATAAATTTTTTATAAATTTTTTAAATTTAATTTCAAATTATAAAGTTGATTATACAAATTTTTTATAATTAAAAATTCAAATTTACAAATTTAATTATAAAAAGTTTGTGTAATTAACTTTATAATCTGAAATATTCTTGAAATTAAATTTAAAAAATTTATAAAAATTATATATTAAAATACAGATTCCAATTAATAAAAATAAAAACTTTATTATAAAATAATTTTAATTTTTACTATAATTTATTGTAGGTATGTATATGTTTTATTATCAGATTTTTTAGATTTAATCTGAAATATTGATTAGTAAGTAAACTTGAAAACTTTTATATAGAAAGAAAAATTCATATTTTATTAATAAACTTTAATATTGTTGCATTTTTTTTATTGTTACTATATATAAAATGTATTGTAAAAAAGTTATAAAAAGAGCTTAACTTATATAAAAAACCAATTTAATACTTAATAAAATAATAATTTTGATTTGTTTGACAAGTTATAAAAAATATTAATTTGAGCTAAATAATTGATTGAAATTAACTGCTTTTTTTGTTTATAAGTGATAACCGTATGTGTATTATTCCCAGACCAACATAAGTATTTATATATGTTGATCTCCAATTGGGATACGGATCACGAATTAATCTCATTTTAAAATTATTGCTCACCATCACTAGAAATTAAAATCCAAGCCAAACTGGAATCCTTTTTTCACTTTGTCAGTTGTGGTTGCAATTAAGGGTAAACAGAAATTCAGTTCAAATCGTAAAAGACTGCTTCGATAGATGATACCAAAACCGGTTGCAACGCTTGGATCAGTTCCAATCCGTCGAATATTATTATAGAAAGGTAATCCTAATATATTAAATGATTAATATTGGAATATATGTGTGAGGATAAATAGTAGAAGATAAAATCGAAATCGCTTACTTTGATGTAACTGAACCAAGTTTTCTCCATTTACAAATAAATGCCCTTTCAATTACAATCGACGAACTCTCAGCAACGGTGTAAATAGACTTGCACCACCAGCTAAATAAATATCACCCCCGAGTGAATCCTCTAAATGTCAATTAAAATAATAAGTAAATTCTTTCAGAGATTCCGAATCTCAAAACGGTGATAAAACTATGTATTTTTAATTCACTGCATACTCTTATCTTCTATAGGACCAATGTCATTTAACCTAAATCCTCGTATCGATTGAACTCCTCCCCCCAGGAAAAATCTATCACTGATTTTTGAGAGCTTCCCATCTAAAGGGTACAGCACTCCATTTCTCAATGATGCACTGAAAATCTATTTATATTATGTACAAATTTGTTAATTATCTTTTTGCAATTTCTATTTATATATAATTATTATACTCACAAATCCTTTTCCAAGATTGTAGTTTATCTGACTTTCAAGTTCATGCTTAATAAAATCTATATCGCCACCTAGGCCTGCATATTTATATAAGCAACAGATGATTGTTATATAGTTTTACAGAACGAAACAATCCAAAATCGAGCAAACCTGAGAAAGTTTCAGGTAATATCCTCGTGATGGAAGCAGTATGTCATCTCGATTGTCACGTATAAAAACATACGTAAATGATGATTTCAAGGAATGACCTGCTGATTCCCTTATACTAGATAACGATGACATTGTTATCTCAGTAACTATGGTATTGATTATAAAAATCAAAAATATCAAGAAAAAACCAATTTAATACTTAATAAAATAATTGACAAGTTATCAAAAATATTAATTTGAACTAAAAGAATACTTAACTACTTTTTTTGTTTATCAGTTGAAATTGAAATTACTAAATTTTTATTGATTAAATTTAGTTTAATCTTATATATAAAATTATTTTCATATTCCTTTATATTTTATTATATTCTCTTAACCTTAATAATTTATCTTACATCTGTATTCCTAGTTACAAGTTTCATATAATCAGAAGTTGCATAATCTTGCACAATGATAAGCATAAAGTTTTTTATTGGGTTTTCACATTTAGTCTTATTGGATACGAGTTGGAATCTGATTAACAAGTTAGATCAAAATGCAAATTTTCAACATTGCCCACAAAAGTTTCTATTGAACAGACGAGAGAATGCTATAAGGAAAGTGATGACAACCCGTATGTGTGTCATTCCCAGACCGACATAAGTATTTATATATGTTGATCTCCAATTGGGATACGGATCACAAATTAAATCTCATTTTAAAATTATTACTCACCATCACCAGAAATTAAAACCCAAGCCCAACTGGAATCCTTTTTTCACTTTGTCAGTTGTGGTTGCAATTAAGGGTAAACAGAAATTCAGTTCAAATCGTAAAAGACTGCTTCGATAAACGATACCAAAACCGGTTGCAACGCTTGGAGCTGTTCCAAGCCGTCGAATATTATCATATAAAGGTAATCCTAATATATTAAATGATTAATATTGGGGTATATATATGAGGGTAGTAGAAGATAAAATCGAAATCGCTTACTTTGATGTAACTGAACCAAGTTTCCTCCATTTATAAATAAATGCCCTTTCAATTGCAATCGACGAACTCTCGGCAACGGTGTAAATAGACTTGCACCACCAGCTAAATAAATATCACCGCCGAGCGAATCCTCTAAATGTCAATTAAAAATATTAATAAGTAAATTCTTTCAGAGATTCCGAGTTTCAAAACGGTGATAAAACTATGTATTTTTTTGATTCACTACACACTCTTATCTTCTATGGGACCAATGCCATTTAACCTAAAGCCTCGTATCGATTGAACTCCCCCCAGGAAAAATCTATCGCTGATTTTTGAGGGCTTCCCATCTAAAGGGTACAGCAATCCATTTCTCAATGATGCACTGAAGATCTATTTATGTTATGTATAAATTTGTTAATTATCTTTCTGTAATTTTCTATCTATATAAAGTTACTACACTCACAAATCCTTTTCCAAGATTGTAGTTTATCTGACTTTCAAGTTCGTGCTTAATAAAATCTATATCGCCACCTAGGCCTGCGTATTCCTATAAGCAATAGATGATTGTTATATAATTTTACAGAACGAAAAAAATCCAAAATCGAGCAAACCTGAGAAAGTTTCAGGTAATATCCTCGTGATGGAAGCATTATGTCATCTCGATTGTCACGTATAAAAACATGCGTAAATGACGATTTCAAGGAATGACCTGCTGATTCCCTTATACTAGATAACGATGACATTGTTACCTCAGTAACTATGTTATTGGTTATATCAAGAAAAAATCATTAGCATACCTTAAAGTTGCATTATCAGCAATATTGCAAATTTGTCTCCACGTGGATCCAACCATGAACTCATGAAATCCGAGTCTCGAATATACCTAAAAATAAAAATCTATAGTTATTAGCATCACTACCTACAATAAACATATCATCATCAGACCTACCTTCCATCGTAACGCAGCACCTCTCAATATTTCATCATGCGAACTATAAGGCTGATTATTTCTAGTTAAGCTAAAGGCAGAAAGGTCAATCTTGGAGTCTGGGTTTCCATTGATTGGTTTTGCTAAACAGAACTAGGAAGCAAGTTAACTGGACAATTCATCTTTGGTATGTTATTAAAATTAGAGAGTGTCATATCCATTTCACTCTCCCAATCTCTCAAGGAGAATAATTACAATAATCAGGGTCACACCTCGAACACATGTGACACTTGAGTGCCTGCCGACATGTAAGTCTCGAGAGTTTCGGCACCGCCAAATACATTCCTTATATTTAAGGAGATATTCTATGGTAATAAATTTGTCGGTTATTAATACGTGATCTATTACATTAAATTTTATATAGTATCTACGTGAAATCTTGGAGTCACTTACCGCGCTTCCAGCCTCATTGCCAATCTCCGTGCCAGTCTTTACCCAAAATCGATTTTTCTCTTCCAGAGCTATTGTTACATCAAGAGCTCCTGGTGATGCCAGTGGATCATCAGAAGTATCTAGCAAAACATCAATCTCCTTAAATATATCTAATCGTGATAGATTCGATGTCGCTTGGCTAGTAGACTGAATGACATCGCCTAGAGTTTTCGCCTTTAATGCACGATTCAATACAGCTTCGAAAAGCCAAGGCCGAGTTTTTTTTGCTCCTTCTATTCGAAAAGAATTGATATAGTATTTCTCATTTTTCGCTGCAGAAACCTATGTATATAATATGTGGCTTATTAAATACACTCGTGTCCTTTGACTACATTAACATGTTAAATATAAATTGTTATTGGAAAGTTCCTTAGTACCCAAACTTCTAACTTTCTTTCCGCTTCTTCTCTCTCACGCCTTAACGCCTCTTGAGCTTTTAAGTCTTGATTGAGTATTTCCTCGCCTACTTTTTGAGGCCTCAAAGGAAACTATTGGCAAATATACAATCAGCAATTGATACTTTACTCGGCATCGGATTTTTGTTGCTAACATAAAGAGAATGGAGTGAGTATATGATAATATACCAGGTCTTCGTCGAAATCCATTGTAATTTCCTATATTTCGTTATGTTTAAAACGCGAGAACAGATGAACAGATTTGCAGATTTGCAGATCTTTTATTTATTGGATATTATAATATTAAAAATAACAAGAAATAATAGAAATCAAGCATTTCGTAATTGAACTGTATTAACTTTTTCACGAAATTTTGTTATTGTATCTTTTGGATCGTTAGCTTTAAAGATTGAAGTTCCCGCAACAATAACATTTGCGCCTGCTTCGGCTGCTTGATCAATATTTTCAAGTGATATCCCTCCATCTACTTCTATATCTAAATTGGGAAATTGTTCACGAAGAGCTTTAACCTAGATTTTTTAGTTATAAAAATAAAAATGATTGAAATTGAAATTCAAAATGTTAAATATAGTAAGGGAAATAAAATTGAACAAACCTTTGGAACGCAATCAGTCATAAACTTCTGACCTCCGAATCCAGGTTCTACTGTCATCACTAGACACATGTCTATTTTATCGGCTAGATCATAGACTTTATCTATAGGCGTGTTCGGCTTTACAGCAACGCCTGCTTTCATCCCAGCTTTATGGATTTTGTCAATCAGTTCGAGTGGTTTATCTGTTATCGAATGATGTATAAGGATATTAATGGTGGTTATCACAATTTCTGGTAGAGTTCCATTTAAATTTAATTTACCTGTTGCTTCAATGTGAAATGTGTACATTGATGCACCAGCTTTTGCAAAGTCATCAACCCACTATTTATATATATATATATATATAGAGTCGTAGGCACATTAATTGTTTAATGAATCATTAGTTGTTTAATAAACTAGAAATTTAAGAATAAAAATACCTTTTCTGGATTCTCAACCATTAAGTGGCAATCTTTTAAAGAGTGGAATGAGCAAATTTAATTCTCAATACCAAAGAATGCTCAAATTTCATACAAATCATGTAAAAAACTAACCAAGGAACGCGTTCACATGTTGACGCAAAGATTTTATAATAGGTGCGCCAATGGTCAGATTTGGAACAAAATGACTACAAAAATCAAATCGCAGAAAAGTTGAATCAAACCAACAAAAAAACATAAATTTCCCTCGATAGAAAGAATTCGAATCCAAATTAAAAAAAATTCTCGATTTTACCCATCCATCACATCTGAATGAATCAAGTTGTTTATGGATTGCAGTGAAAAAAAAAGTGAAAAACAACGGAAAAGATAGAGACGCGACTTATTTTTTTGGCGAAATGCTCAGTGGTCTTACCCATGTGTAACCAATCCGCACCCTCTTTTATCATGCGGTGGCATTCGGATGCTAGTTGTGCAAAGTCGCTGGAGAGCACCGAGGGGGCAATTTTTGCAATTGGCATTTTTTTTAAGAAAGGAACTATAATAATATCGATATCGATGTGAACTAATTAAAGTTGATCTTTCTCAATCTATATTAGCATGATGGGCGTTATTTATCGATCTAATAAATGTCACACGATCGTCATGGACAATAATATAAAAATGAAGGATTCATTTTTTCATTTTTTGAATTTTTTGATTAAAATATCTATCGTCTTCCTTTAAAAATAAAAAAATCAAATTCTTTGAAAATGTCTGTTAACGTTCCTGGCTATAAATCCTCGCCGTATTTCGAACAATTGAAAACTAACATTGAAGCAAATCCCGAATCATACATCAAAAAGGTAACTTATTTATAACAATAATTATATAACGGCGAATATGTAATGACAACAAAAACATATATTTATATGAAAGGCAAAAGGCACCTATGAATTTCATATCAAGAACAAAGACGACAAAGAACAAACCTGGACTATTGAATTGAAAGATAAAGGTGCAGTAACAGCTGAAGCTAGTAAAAGTAAACCGGATATCGTACTCACCCTGACTGATGATGTTTTTGTCGATTTGGTCGATGGAAAACTTAACGGTAAATTAAATTAATTATTCTCTTCTGCCATCTAATTTTTAATTTGACGGTCATCTTATAATTGTTTATTATTATATGAAAAGGTCAAAAGGCTTTTATGCAGGGAAAACTTAAAGTGAAAGGCAACGTTATGTTAGCTACCAAACTTGACGGTGTATTAAAGGCCGCAAAAGCAAAATTGTAAAGAATGATTCCAGTTTAGCTAACGACACGAACGTGTTAATGTTAATGTTAATGAAAGGAAGGGACCGGTGGACCGATCCTTTTTTTATTTATATCTTACCTAATATTGCTTAATAAGATTAGCAATCTTAATCACGAATTATTTTACTAGCATGTATTGTTTGATATGTTAAAATAAAAATTGTGTAATCTTAATTACTGCAACCCATTTAGTAAATGATCAGACAAAGATAACTTTCTTGGTTTTGTTTCTACAATGACTTCAATGACAGAATTTCAGGTATAAAAATTATAAGAGTTTTTGCTTATTTAACTCTTATCATTAAGAAACTTGAAATGCCAAACTTTATGCTTTGGAACTACTAGTCTCTCACCACTCTCATTAAGCGCCTCGAAGCAGCAACCTCGCGTCTCGAGGATCTTGCAACCTCAGGTGCCACTGTCGTAGCTGTTGGCACAAACATAAGTCGAAATTCGCTTGGAAGCCAACCAGCTGTACCCTCTTCGCTGGTTTCCCCACCTATCATTGATCCCACAGCTGAAATTGAGTTGCCACCTGCACTTTCCGCCTACGATGAATTAATAGAAGGTCCTTTGGAAACCTTTGTTGAACTTTCGAAAAGTATTGGTGGGCTCGTTGAGGATCAAGTATTATATTAGATTCTATTAGGTGTAGAGTTTATCGATAAAATAAATTTGAGATACTTCAATTTTCATTATTATAATTTTATATAGAGTCATGCCGTCGAAGATATATTTATAGCACAACGTGATTTTCTTGACGTTGCCATAAAAAGCATTAAACCAGACACCAGAACGTTTGCCGAACTGATAAAACCGACACTGCAAGCACTTGAAAAGGTTTGTGAATATAGGGAGAATAATCGGCCGTCTCCGTTCTTTAATCATTTGTCTACCGTCGGCGAAGGGATAGGAGCGTTAGGTTGGGTGACTGTAGAGTCTAAAACGGCACCTTATGTTGGCGATTTAAAAGAAAGCTCACAGTTTTACGCGAATCGTGTGATTAAAGAGTTTAAGGATAAGTGAGTTTTGTTATTTTTATATTCATTGAATCTTGATAATCTTGTAAATTAACTTTTATGTTAATTGTAAATTATAATTAGGGATCGCACCCATGTAGACTGGGCAAATAGTTTTGTGGTGCTCTTGACAGAATTACAAAATTACGTGAAAAACTATCACACAACTGGGCTTGTCTGGAATCCGCAGGTACTACCAAAAAAATTGATAACCGAATTTTTTATAGTTCTCTGAAGAACATAATTTTCTTGTTCTTTTTTTTTTAATCAGGGTGTTGATGCCAAAAATTTTGTTGGAGAAAAACCTACTACTCAACCTACTACCTCGAGCACAATACCTTCAGCAGCAGCATCATCACAACCACCACCAGCAGTTGCAGGTGGTCCCCCAATTCCCTTACCGCCACCTCCACCACCACCGTTTGATTTCGCAGAATCCAGTAATTCCAAAGATGCAAAGGCTGATATGAGTTCAGTATTTGCGGATCTTAATCGTGGAGAGGGCATTGTAAATACTTTGAAGAAAGTGGATAAAAGTCAAATGACACATAAGAATCCAAGTTTGAGGGCTGGAAGCACTGTTTCAGAAGTTGGTGGTAATTAACTAATCAATCAATCAATCAGTTAATTAATTAATTAATTAATTACCGTAAACTGCCGTGAATAAGCACCACCAAAAATAGTAGAAAATATATCTAAAATCTGCTTTAAATGGCGTTAATTTTAAATTGTGTGGAAATGTCCAGAAACGAGTAACCGCCTCGTTTTTTAGAACCCAGAAATGGTGCTTGTTTACGGTATATTCGATAAAATAAATTTACAAGTTATATTAAAATTTGTTTCTCATATTTTTTTTAGTCAAGGGTCAACAAAAGAAAGGACCTGCTGCGCCACCAAAACCAGCTGCATTATCTCTCAAGAAACAACCTAAAACAGAACTTAATGGCACCAAATGGATTATAGTATGTTTTATATTTTATATTATCGATCAAGTCGAATTGTTACTAATAAATATATTATGAATCTACCTACAGGAACATTATGAGAATAATTCCAAGTTAGTGATTTCGGATACTGCGATCAATCAAACCGTCTACATATTCGGATGTAAGAATTCCACAATACAAGTCAAAGGAAAAGTGAATGCCGTTATTTTAGGCGAGTTATGTTATTGCGCAGTAATGACGTAGTCTATAATGTATACATAATCTAATCATTGATTTATTTATAGATACTTGTCAGAAAACGGATCTATTGTTAGATTCAGCCGTAGCAGCGATCGACATTGTAAACTCGAAATCGGTTCAACTTCAAATTCAAGGTCACACACCCACAATCATGATCGATAAAACAGACATCGGGCAAATCTATCTCTCGTCCGAATGTCTTAAAACTGAAATTCTGACTGCGAAAAGTTCCTCGATAAATGTAAATGTGCCAGGTGTTGGTGAAAATGGCGACTACGCAGAAAGACCAATTCCAGAACAATTTAAGAGTACCATTGTTGATGGGAGACTTGTTAGTGTTCCGGTAGAACATACTGGATAAATAGACAGACAATCACTGCCAATTTTGTATTTACAGACATGTACTTGCGAGTATATTATTTATTTTAATCTTTTGTTATTCCAGTCCGAGTAAACAATGTTCATCTGCCATTGTTATGTCAGAGAGACATGTCGTAATCGGAGAAGGACTCCCACACTCACTTCTCAATGGAGTAGTGGAGTAGAACATGTAACAAACAGCGCACAAAAACATCATATTATATTTAAACAAACACTAAATCACGAATTTTCAAATTATTTGATACAATTTTTACCTTGAATACTACAAAATTTTCATTTATTTCGTGATATTAAATAAAAAGGTGCAAAGAAATGGCCAAAATTCGCAAGCATCAATTCCGTAACGATACTTTGCGCGTAGAAGCTCTCACGCATAAATCATACCACTATGAGAATCCAAGTACTGGTCCACACAATGAACGCTTAGAATTCTTGGGCGACTCGATTGTGTCTTTTGTCGTTGCGAATTTCTTGTACACCCGTTTTCCACTTTTCAAAGAAGGACAACTCACCTTAATGCGCGCGAATTTAGTTTGCAAGAAATCGTTGGCTCGTTTCGCGCTTCAACTTGACCTCGACAAAGAGTTGTTGCTCGGTGTCGGCGCACTGAGGGATGGCGGGCGTGAAAGCGAAAAAGTGCTCGAGGATGCTTTCGAAGCGTATATTGGTGCGGTGTTTCTTGATTCTGGATCTAAAATGTCGGCTATTCAAGACTTTATGGAACCGATTCTCTTGCCCGCCGTCGAGGAATTGACTCGCTCGTCATCACCGGTACCTCCTAATAATGGTCCGCAATCCACTAGAAAAGAACAACCTTCTTCCGTTGATCTGGTTAACAATCCTAATTCCAATACCCATAATAATAACAATCTCAACTATAATATGAATCTACCGACAGATTTGAATCTCTCAGCCGATCTGCAAGATCCCATTAATAAACTTCAAACGTGGTCGCAACGAAAAGGATTAGGAATACCAGAATACAAAGAAATCGGTGAATCTTGCAATGATCATAACGCTATTTTCACTGTTGGCGTGCATATCAAAGGGACACAAATGGGTAAGGGGAGAGCGAGAAACAAAAAAGATGCAAAAAAAGAGGCAGCAATGAATGCACTTCGTTTTATCAACACCGGTATTGTGTCCGAAACTTGTCAATCTATGGTTCCTTCTGGTTCTCGTATTAATACTTTGGATCTTCCTAGTCCGATTCGCACCTCTAATTAATAATTTAGATCTTATTTGGCCTGATGCCTTGAGTTTATTCTTAATCTTTTATTATTATTATCATATTATCATTCGTATTATATTATCGTAATTATTCCTTCACAGTATTTCATATTCTAGTATTCAATATTTCAAGATATACTTTGGACGTTTGGAAAGTGGATCATGGGATCATAGAATTATATTATCATCACGCAATTTATTATTATTATTTCGTAACCATACATTTCTTTTCTCTTTAAATTGTTTATTATTTTATTCTTATGTATTTGATTTGATATCAATATACTTCTAGAAAATCCGATCATTCATTCTTACTTCGCCTAACTTCATTATCTCGCTTACTATTTACCATACGATTGTAGTGATAGTTGGTGGTAGATAGAATTACCATGCTCTTCTGTGTGGACCGACCCTGGACAAAGTATGCGCCACCAGAGAATAATTTAATGTAGACTTTTTGTCACTTTATTTCTTCTATGATCAAAGATCATAAATTTGATAAAGGTGACAAGTTAAGTTTACGATAAATTATTGGGGTGTAACATACTTTTTTGAGTGTTGATCCACACCGAAGATCATTGTTTCTCTCTCTCTCACTTTCTTCTCATCATTTTTTATCAAATTTTAAATATTATTATTATTATTATTAAAATAAAAAAAATTTGATATCGTTTGGATGACTTGGATATTTTGCGTTTCCCATGTTTGTTGAATCATCCGAAATAATGGAATAATTGATGTGTAATAGTAGAATATCGGCTATCTGCAGTGTTACCATTAAATGTGAACATAAAATTAAACTAATTTGTGACTAAAAACAAACAACGAGAGAAACGAGAATTTCAAGAATTTGCGCAAAGCTTATTACTGCTTTTACTAAGGTGTGTAATAGGTATTTATGGAAAATAACGAGCAAATTCCACCAGAGAATCCGTTAGTTATCCAGGGAACAAATAATTCTCTCACCTCGGACATTATTAATATATCAAGTACAACAAGATCTGGCGGTCGTTCTCCTAGACTCTCGCCTACTGCAGCAACAGAGCTCGACGATCGTATACGAAGACGAACACGGTCTTCTTCGAGAAATGATGCCGTGTCTGAAGGTTCTAGAGTAGTACATCGTAGTCACACAATAGCACACCCTGCTACTACGCAGGCGCGATCTGATTCAAATCTGTATTGGATAGGAGAACTGGGTCATGAAAGTGAACCTAAACAAATGCCATCTTTTCTTAATAGAAGAAGAACCATCATGTCGGGAAATGATGCTGTTGAAATGTCGAGCGTGCATCGTGAAAGTTTTGCTACCGAGTCAGAATTTAGTCCCTACACGGAAAATGACATTGACGAATATTATAATATTGATGATAGTGATACTGCTCAGTTAACTGCACAAATTATTAATTCAGAAAGACCGAAAGAAAAAGCTGCATCGTTAATAGAAACTCGGGATAATCCCGAATATGATAATTCACTTAGACACACACGAAGTCTCGGAAGAATGAGTCAGATGCTTGCACGTGCTTCTTCGCGTGTCGTCAATTTACATAATGTCCCACAAGAAATATTACAAAAAAGTGACATAGATTCGGTTAACCATCCAACAAGATCGTCCAGTAAGAATAATGATCACAATTCATCAAATTGGAGCAATAAAGAAGGGATGAGTGAATTTATATTGAATCATAATCTGGCTGCTCGTAGGTCTAAAGAAAATTTTGAAAGAAAACAAAGTGTAGTAGTTACTCCGCAGATTGAGTCTCCATTAGTTGGAAGATCTTTGTATATATTTGGACCAACAAATACATTGAGATTAAGACTTTATCGAATTTTAGATCACCCGTATGTGTGTTCCTATTGAGCGTGATGTCTGAATTTATTCAAGCTGATAATAATCCCCTTTTTTATAAATAAATATTAGTTGGACTGAATCAATTATTTTGCTCTTAATTTTTATTAATGTCGTTCTTTTGGTCGCTCAAGCATGGGTACCATTGGATTATGGTGGAAGAGAAACTACATGGGGAAGATCATGGACTGATTATGGCTTACTGGTTATTTTTTCAATATATACGTAAGTTCTATTTTTTCTGTATCAAGCAATAACGAAATGTTTGTAATATTTCAATAAACTCAATCAATTGATCTATCCACTAGATTTGAAATGGCAGCTCGAATTATAGTATCTGGCCTAGTGATAAATCCCAAATCCGAGAATTCAATGGAAGAGACTACGCATGAAGCAAATAAAACGTTTAAAAATGTCCAAGAACTTCCTTCATATCTCTTATCACATGTCGCCAAATCAAAGCAATCACCACCAACTGCACCAGGCGCGTCAGAATATGATCTAAAACGACAGCAGAGTGACGCCCAAATGACCGACAGCGCCTTTCTTCGGCACAGTTTTAATCGAATTGATTTATTGGCTGTTGTCAGTTTTTGGATTGATTTCGGATTGAGATTTTCTGGCGTATCGCATTTCTTTCTATTTAAAGCCTTGGGCACTTTTCGGAGTTTGAGATTGTTAGCGTTGACAAGTGGAAGTTCGACCATATTACAATCATTGAAGAAGAGCGCGCCATTACTTGTCAATGTCGCGTTTTTTGTCTTCTTTTTCTTTAATTTATTTAGTATTATCGCTGTTCAATCTTTCAAAGGGTCTTTTCGGCGGCATTGTGTTTGGATCGATCCTGAGGATCCGACAACAAATTATACTTTTTCTTTTTGTGGTGGACATATCGACAATAAAACGTATACTGCTGCCCCATATTACAATTCTAATTTCGAGCCCGTTCGTACAAATGTTAAAGGATATATATGCCCTCAAGGACAAATTTGTTTGGTAAATTATTTACTACTTCCTCATTATTAAATTTATTATTATTCGCGCTTAATTGTTTATATACTAATAGGAAACTGAAAATCCATATAATGGAACTGTCAAATTTGATAATGTATTCTCTTCCATGATTCTTGTTTTTGTTATATCTTCCGGTAATTATTTGAATTGAGTATTTATGGTTCCTGATAGTTTTATTAACTGATAGATTTTCTTTTCATTCAGTGCAAAGTTGGTCCGATTTAATGTATAACACAATGGATTCGGATTTCTATGCAGCTTGTATCTTCTTTATTGTCGTGGCCTTGGTTCTGAATTACTGGTTAATTAACCTTTTCGTCGCTGTGATTACTGAAATGTTTGCCAAAATCCGGGAGGATAGTTCACATTCGGCCTTTACATTATCAAAGTAAGCCGTCATTCTCTATTAATTAATTTCTTAAAAAAAAAATAGTGATGTCGAATTAATATAAAGTTGTCTGTCATGAATGGGTGAAATAGAACTACGCCTGTATTATCGGACGACGCGGAAGGTTGGACCCTTCAAGAAGGAAACAAAATGGTCAAAGTTAATTGGTTAACACGTTTCATGAATGAGACAAAATATCTGTGGATAACTGCGATAATTATTGATTTGATCATTATGCTGTTTCGAACTTCTACCTTAAATGCTGATGGCTTGACTGTTTTGTGTATGTGGTTTTTTTTTAAATTATGAATTAAATTAATTTCTCTTGAAATTCTCTTACCGATAAAAATGTATATTTAGTGCGTGCTGAATTAATATTCACAATACTGTTTGCAATTGAAATCATTTTGCGTTTTGGTGCCTCGTTACCCGACTATCGCCATTTCTTTCACTACAAAAAAAACGTGACGGATTTTATTTTGGTGGTTATCACCTGTCTCATTCAAATACCAGGGATTAGGGATTCCAATGCTTACCCTTATTTGACTGTATTTCAAATTATGCGTGTATATCGAGTCATTATTGCTTGGGCGCGTCTGAGGAATCTTCTTGTAAGATTGTTTATTCTTATTTTGGTATTTATAGGCAAATCAATTTTTAAGCTTTGATTTTAAAACACTATTTTTCTTATAGATGCGTGTTTTAGGTAGTGCTGTTGGTCTGGCTAATTTGGTTTTCTTTATTGTCTTGGTCAATTTTATTTCGGCTGTCATAGTAAGTCGTGATCCATCACATAAATAGTTCTCTTTGTATTTACAAAGGATAACGTGTTTATATCTTTTTTAGGGCGTCCAATTAATCCGCGGTGATATACCGAACAATGATGATAACGGCAATAGAATAGAGATGAGATTCAGTGATATATTTAATAGTTTTGTTGCATTGTATCAGGTGTGAATTGTTATTGGTAAAATTTAATACGGGCAAATTTAAAGAAACTTGTTAATTTCCTTTTTACTTTCTTTGCAGGTATTTTCCGGTGAAAATTGGAGTACCGTCTTATACAATGTCATGTCATTTGAAAATAGCTGGCATTCTTCGTTTATAGCCGGATTATTCTTGATCATATGGTTCGGTTTATCCAATTGTATGCTGAATTATATTATTTCAAAGTTTATTATTTATTGTTAATATTAATGACACTTACACATTGTAAATTTCAAAAATTTCAAGTTGTACTTCTTAATATGTTCATTGCCATCTTACAAGAAAATTTCGAAACCGCCGAAGAAGAAAAACGTAAACACCAACTAAAAGCATTTATTCGAAAAGCGGATCCAAAAGAGAAACAAGAAGATATTATAGATTCGTGGAATATTTACAGATTCTTTAGAGCAAAACCGAAATCTTTGGCTATTGCAAATATTCCTTCTAATTTGATTTTGTCAACTCAAAAGAGTCGTGTTAGAGAATTTTTGAATGATGATTATAATATTATGGAGAATCAGGTAAATTTTTTTTGAAGTACAGTCTCACCTCTCTAAACACTATATATCAGAACAAATTAACTATGTGAACTCGATCTATTTTTTTCCAATAATTTTCATATGAAAATAGCTCTATATAAGAACAACATAATAGCATATTTTGTAAGATCCATAAAGATTGCTAATTACGTTTTTATGTATGAAATATTTAATCATAATGTAGAAGTATTCCAAACTTCGTCGGCGTCAGACTGGAAACGGGATTTTGAGGCGATTACAGCAATTTTTACGACATGGAAATAATGGAGATGGGGATGAACATATCGCTCTTACCGATTATCATAGACGTAGCTCGGAAATGGATAATTCTCAAGGAACTTTAGGAACCAAGTATGCACAAATAGATTAGTATTTGCTGTTTTTGTCATACATTAAATTAATTTGTGTTTATATAAAATGGCAGTGACTTGAAAAGTGACACAATGAATGAACGATCTGTAGAAATTGAACTTGATGAAATTCAAGAGCGTCGAGCCATGAAAGCAGATTTTATAGCAGCACATCCTAACTATGACGAATCACTCTGGTTTCTATCACCTCGAAATCGTATCCGACACTATTGTCAATTACTTGTGCCTCCAAGCTACGGGGAACGAATGTTTGGCACTGCTCCATCTCCGACACTTAGCTTATTATTTAGCATTACGATTTTCTTATGTATCGTAGCAAGCGTCGTTGTTGCAGCAATTACTCATCCGGCTTATCAAAAAAGATATTTTATCCAAATTGGATCAGAAAACCGTATCACTTGGTTCTGGATTGTTGATGCTGTTTTTACAGGCATATTCACCTTAGAATTTTTGGTCAAAATTATCGCGGACGGTTTCCTTCTCACTCCGAATGCATATCTTTTAAATGTTTGGAACGTGTTAGATTTTTTCGTCTTGGGCTCTTTTTATGTTAATCTCTTGGCGACACTGTTCCATGCCACTAATGTATCACGATCTGTGCGCGTTTTTAAAGCTTTGCGTGCATTGAGATTAATTAATTTGTCAAGTTCAATCAAGGAAACATTTTATGCTATATTGATTGCTGGCTTTCCACGAATTTTAGATGCTGCTCTATTGTCTATTAGTTTAATTATTCCGTTTGCCATTTACGGACAAAATATTTTTTCGGGGTTACTGTTTTCGTGTAACGACAACGATCCATCAATTAAAAGCAAATTTAATTGTACTGGCGAATTTCAGGATACACCGTATTATTGGACCATTTGGGCTCCGAGAGTCTGGGCCAACCCTTATGAATGGAGTTTTGACAATTTTAGATCCGCGCTACTTATACTTTTTGAGATTCTCTCGGGAGAAGGATGGATCGACGTGATGACTTCTGTCATGGCAATCAGCGGTCGTGATCTTTCTCCGGTACAAGATCATTCAAAATGGAATGCGCTTTTTTTCATGATATTTAATATGGCAGGAGCAGTTTTTGTGTTGACTCTTTTCATTAGTGTTATTATTGAAAATTTTAAGAGACGATCAGGATCTGCTTTTTTGACCTCGGATCAAAAACGCTGGATTGATCTCAAGAAATTACTAAAGCAAACTCGACCATCCAAACGTCCTAAAGTTAGACCTCAGAATTATATCAGGGCTTTTTGTTATGATCTTGTTATTGAAAAGAAGGGTTGGCTATCGAGATTTATGACGATAGTTTATATCTTGCATATCTTGAATCTTATGACCGAATATCAAGATTCACCGGCATGGTTAGATACTTTCAGAGGTATATTTAGACTATAATTATTTAATTATCCAGTTTTATGATCCGCTCTTACAAAAAAAATTCTTGCTCTTTCCCTTTATTAGAGGATGCCTTCTTGGTATTTATTGCCATCTACATCATTGATATCTGTATCAAACTTGCCGGATTCGGATGGAATGTCTTTCGCGAAAATAGATGGAATTTATTTGATCTATTTGTGGTTTCGGGTGCTGCGTTCACCACCATTCCAGTGAATGTCGATGTCGCCAAAGGTGTACTGGAACAACTACAAAAGTTATTTTTGGTGGCTATTGCGTTTAAGTTAATACAAAAGAGTGATAGTCTTAATCAACTTTTTAAGACAATGGCGTATGTTATTTATTTTGTATTTCGATTGATGTGTCTTGTTTAACTATGCTTTTTCATTTTCGAAATTTATATTTTGATATTTTAAATTCTTTTCTAGTGCGAGTTTACCATCGATTTTTGATTTGTTCGCTGTATGGTTCGTAGTCTTTTGTGTGTACTCGCTTATGTTTACGGAGATTTTTGGATTGACAAAATTTGGTCGACAAGCCACACGATATGTAAATTTTCGCGATTTTCAAAATGCTTTTCTTACATTAATAAGAATGTCGACAGGGTAATTATTTATTAATATTTACACATCCTCAATCTGTCAATATTCTACTAACAGTGATACACCTTCTTTATTAAAATAGTGAGGGTTGGAACACGATCATGCATGATTACGCTATCGAAGCACCGCTCTGTGTTGATTCACATTCATTTCTTAATTCCGACTGTGGCAGTCGAACCTGGGCATATTTCCTATTCATATCGTGGAACGTGCTATCAATGTACATATTCGCTTACATGTTTATCGTGGTGGTAGTCGACAATTTCTCATATTGTTATCAAATCGCTGCCAAGTTCTCGTTGGTGAATCGTGAAGAAATGAGAAAATATCTTTTTTTTATGTGTGAAACTATAGCTCACTCACCATACGCGTGAATTTATGTACGATTATAAATGATTGGTATATATCTTCCTTGACTACTATTTAATTTTTACGTTTAAGAAAGCTTGGGCTGCCGTCGATGTTGGTGGAACGGGATACATCAAAAGTAAAGACTTTGCGAAATTTTTCGGGGTAACTAATTTTTTTTGTTTAACTTAATTACTTGCAGCATTGTAATGATATGCATTTTTGAATTTATCGATTTACCAGAAATTATCCGGTTCTTTCGATGTTAAAATCTACGACGATAATTATCAAATACCGACTCTTTTGAAGAATTCATTGAAAACTGAAGATGGATCAAATGTAGGAATGTTGGGAAGTACTAGTAGTAGCAAACGACATGGTGGAGACACACTGTCTAGTCACACAATTGATATTGATCGGCTTCAAAAAAATCTGACTGATCTTAACGTGTCTAAAGTACATGAGCGTCGTCGTATTTATAATTGTTTGTATCAGGTGGGATTATTTTTTTTACTCGATTGATTTGAAACGAAAAATTGCGCCCTTTTTTTTTAACCTATTTAACGATACAGGAAGCACTCTTATCGGTAGAAAAAGACAGCAAGGACAATGAAAAAGGAATTTCATTTGCAAATATGTTGATAATGCTAGCACATTATAAGCTAGTGGACGATGACAAGTCCCTAAGGTAATTTTCACCATTGAATTGTTTTTTGCCTCTTTTAAATTCACCTTAACCATTGAATTTTTTTTAGAATCGATGAGCTTTTAAAACGCAAAGAAAAAATGGAGAAAGTCATCGACAATGTCAACAAAGATCGAGTAATGTCATTGCTGAAAACTATTTATTGGAGTGGCAAGTTCAAGGCACGAAAGGAAGAACAATTGAATGCTGCACGCAGTAGTGTTGGAACTGTAATTGGTAAACAAATGATGATGTTTATGAATCTGTATGTTCTGTATCTGCTATATTTTTGATAACACCATTTTGTTTTTCAAGTTCCTCGTATTACCGTTTATGATGATTCCAACGCTCCACAACCACTAAGAATCGCAACAAATTTAAATCGTGGTTCAAGTCTATCAAGCCAATTTGGAAATTCTCCTATTTCTCCACCTTCACCAATGACACCAACTTCGGTAAGCACTGATCTCTTGGACTATTATACTCATGGCGAACGCAATTCAACGGATTACGCTGCTAGGATGTCAGATGAATGGTAAGTTTGTTATCAATGTGTATACAGTTTGAATGCTTACTTCTTTGGTTTGTTCATTCTTTATCGTTAATTTGGCAGTGATGGAGGAGAATTGTTCACGAGTGGATGGAGATCTATTGATGCGAACAATGAAATGGACGATCAAACAGCCGATTTGGTCTTGGATACTTTACAGAGTAATATTTGGCATGGTAAAGTATTTTTTATGTTCAGATTGTTGAAAAGTTTGGGAATTTCCTGGTCGTTCGTTAATTAATTAATTTGCATGATAATACAGATGTTCTACAAGCAGCCACACAAGAAAATTCACAATCAGATCAATAATAATATCATTTTTAAATACACCAACACTTTTGTCATCATTCATTCTATTTTGCATATTTTTTTGTAATCATTATTGCATACACACATTATTTTCTTCACATTTTTGTTATTTAATTTTTCAAATTTAATTTATATGTAGTCAAGTCAAACCCACCCTCTATATATATATACACATATATGTAAATTATAATTTTGTTTATAGATATTAAATTAATAAAAATTTTATCGGTTCAAGTTGATTACTTTATTATTGAATAGTCAGTTCTATGTTGTAAATGGGAATGGGATATATGTGGATATGGAATCGCCCCAAACTAGGATAGGGGTACGAGAGTAAGGATAAGGGTTAGTGTTGGCCGAAAGATTCTAAACCCACACTAAATGGATTCCCACTTATAACATATATAAATGAGTAATAAAATCATTACTCATCTACGTTAATATATTAAATATTTAATAAGAATTACTATTATTACAAAGAATACATATATAGGTTTTAACCATAACTAAAAACTATAAAGCTGCGTCTTTACTTGAAGCAACACTTGAAGTAGTCGTCGTCGTATTATTTGTTGTGATGTTGTTAGAACTATTCGTGGATATAGTGACGTTGACCTTATCATTTGTGCTAGATTGCTCGCTAGTCACCCCCTGCACTTGAACAACAATAGCATCCTGTTCTTCTTTGACGGATGTAGAAACAGAATTTTCAGAATTGACAATTTCATCCCTAGTGACCTGATTCAATTTGATTTCTATATCAGCTTGTTTATCATCCTGATTCTCATCTTTAGTACTACTAATGGTTGCTTGTTCTAGCAATGCAGCCAAAGAATCCACCTCTTCAACTGATTTAGTGGGTTCAGCGGCAACAAGATTCTCGGGAACTAAAAGAGCTGAAGGAACCACTTTATATTTTTCTGTTAATTGTTTGTGGCCTTCGGCGTATAATTGATCAAGTTCACTCTTTTTTTTTTTTGTTGAAAAGAAATAAAAAATTAATTACTATTAGAATAAGCAAAGAATAAACAAGCTTTTTGTTTAGTCACCTCCCATCCACAAAGCTTTGCCAATAATCGTACACCTTCGTCACATGCACCTGCAAAGAACGCGTCACGTCTATAATTCTGATACTTTCCTTCAAAGTCGAATCCGTAACCTGAAATCCCGTACTAAATAATGATGGTTTATACGTTATTCAATCTAAACTGTTATCGAATAGAATAAAATAAAATAAAATCACTTACCACGCCAACAGCTTCCCGATTAATAAGCAATCTTGGCGTTGTCTCAGGCACACTATCTATTAAACTCGCAAACGGTTGTACTTGCAGGGAAGTACCAAGTACAATAAGAAGGTCACATTCTTTGAAATCCTAATCATAAAAAATGATTAAAATACTGCCAATTAAATAGTTAGACTTTGTAGATACAAAATGACATACTGGTATACGTTGAAAGAACGTTTTTGGTAAAGACTCGCCAAAAAATGTGATACAAGGTTTAACTATACCATTATTATGGCAATGTTGACAACGTGGTATGGTTCCGTCGAGTACAGCTTCCCTCATCCACTTGGGATCTGCTGTTTTACGACAATTTAGGCATTTTGACGTGGCAAATGATCCGTGCGCTTCCACTAAAATATCATCTGATAGACCGGCGAGACGTTCCAATGTATCGATATTTTGTGTGAAACAGCGAAGAAGGATTTCGCGTTGATGCAAGAGTTTAATAAAGTAATGGGTTAAAGTAGGCTGTAAAAGAAAACCAGTTAATACAAAAAAAATAATTAAAATCCAGAAATCATCATACATACAAAGAATTTGCCTGGATAAAGTTCTTTAGCCAATTCGAAAAATGGTTCGGGTTTTTCCTATACATGAAGAAATATTTTTATTAATAATCCATTGTTGAATCATACAAGTTAATATGAATAGTAGTTGTGCACACCTGAAAATAACCCACGTCAAAAATGGCTTCTGGATATGGTAGATCATACTTTTGAAGATTATCGTATAGGCCGGTACCAGGTGAACGAAAATCGGGTATACCTTTTATTTGTAATTCATTATAATTGGTACTTTCTTTTCGGAATTTGATATTTCAATCGATTAAACTCGTCTTACCAGCAGATGTCGATATCCCTGCACCGGCCATTATAATCAATTTTTTTGCTGAATTGATACAAAATAAGATATTATTTACGAAATGTGACTTTAGTAATTCTTGTTTGCGTTAAATAAATACCTTTATTTTCTTTAATGAGCTTTGCAACAGTCTCGATACTCGGTGATTCTAGAATGTTTGTTGGACTCTTTTTTTCAAAAGGAATTCAGATCAATTTCAAACAACTAAATTAGTATATGATAGTGCAAAGGTTTCTCACATCATTGTTATCTTTTGTGGTAGCAGGATTATTTCCAGGCATTATGACTGGGCTATAACGATAACGATAAGTGATAAATACAATAAATGAAAGGCACGTTTTTGTTGTCTAACCATCTTCTATCAAAATCTCACGCTGATCTGCACCAGATTAAATAGAGGTGATCATAAATGTTATTACCAAATAGCGATAACTTTTCCCTTTCTTCTTTGCGCTTACAAATTGAAATCTCACAATGCCGAAAGTCAGACACGCGCGAACTAAAAAACCACCGGAAGGTTTCGATGACATTGAGCCAACTTTAATAGAATTTGCACAGAAAATGAAAGATGGTACGTGTGTTTAGTCATTACTGAATATGCAAGGTGAAAATGTTTGATATTCTAGACTAAACTTTTACATCAAAAACATGATTACAAAAAAAAGCTGAAAATGAACCACATGAAGGAAGACGTCGTGTTGAATCTTTATGGCCAATCTTTCGTCTTCACCATCAACGCTCGCGATATATCTATGATTTGTATTATAAACGTGAAGCAATCACCAAAGACGTGTATGAATATTGTTTGAAGCATGGATATGCGGACGGGAATCTTATTGCAAAGTGGAAAAAAGTTGGTTTGATTTTTTGTTCACGAGAAGTATACTTGATTTTCTCGTTATCTAATTGGAATAATTTTAATAATAAGCCTGGATTTGAACGACTTTGCTGCCTTCGGTGCATTCAACCAAAAGATACAAATTTCGGAACGACGTGTATATGTCGTGTTCCGAAATCGAAACTTGAAGAGGGACGTGTAGTAGAGTGTGTTTTGTGTGGTTGCAGGTGTGTGTTATGTGTTTCTTTTAAAATATTAGCAATATTATTGATAATGATTTTATTCTTACGGATAACAACAGAGGATGTTCAAGTACAGATTTTGTATCTACGAAAAAGGAATCTAAAAGTAAACAAAATACGACAGGAGAACAACAACAACAGCAGCAGCAGCAACAACAACAGCAACAACAGCAACAACAGCAGCAGCAGCAAAGTTTATACAGACCATCAACGTCAACATCAGCAACGGCGGCATTTCTTGGAGAAGAAACGACAAATCAGACTACCACCAGCAGCAGTAGTAATAATAATTCTCGCCATGTCGAAAATCAGCAGAGTGAAGATGAATCAAATGACGAAGATTAATTTAATTATTTGGTATGAATATGAAGTTTCTGGTTATGAAAATGTAAAGAAAAACAATTACATTTTATTTTTATCGAGATGAAACAACGCATAATATTCATTTCAGCGGATTATAATATATTTAGATTTAATTTAGAATTTTCTTCCATATGATTTTTTATAATGCAAGGATTTTTATATAGTGTAAAGTCGGGACAGAGGCTCGAATTGCGAATTTTCAATCTTCAAATTCGTAAAGTTAAACTTTCATATAGGAGGTAAATATTTTACGGATTTCCTGTAATATCTAACAATACAATCTCGAAAAATTATTTTTCTAAAATTGCATTTAAGGATTGTACAGTGCCAGCTATATATTTATTAATCCTGGTTTTCACATATCGATAATATCAAAAGTCTTTCTGCTATCGTAGTATGACATTCACAAAGCACATTACACACACTACAAACAAACATTCTAAGAGGGGGAATTATCATCAATACTAAAAAAACCAATTTATACTAACGTTAATACATTTTTTGTAACAGGTAATGATTGGCCAATCAAATTGCAAGATCAATTTCAAATATAACGAAAAATGTTTCTTGTGAAATTTTACTATAATGATAATGTTTCATATCTTGTAATTTGATTTGTTGATCACTGACCTGTTACAAATATCTATTTATATTTCTTTATATATTGAAAATATAAATAGCAATTATAATTTTATTATTCCAATGAGATCAAAAAGATGTATTAATTAGAATATTGTCAAATTCCTTTATAGTCATATTCTTTTATAGTCATTCTATTTTGCTTTCCCATTTACATATAAACAGTAAAAAAAAAAGTAAGTTTATAATTACAATCATTCAATTTTGCTTTTCCAAGAGTGATAATTATAAAGAGGTTTGACTAAAAATAATTTATTAATTATTATTATTGATTATTATTTGATCATCATGTGAATTTAGTTTGGTTAGTTATTTTAGAATATTATTTTATTAGAAAAATCTAAATTATTATTATTTTAAAAAATATATAATAATTTAGCATTATTTTTTTTATCTTGATATTGTTAAATTATTTATCTTCTTTGTTAATTGCTTGTTAACATTTTGTATTTTATTATATTATTTATTAAATATAATTCTTGTTAATATATTTTATTTTTGTTACTTTATTATTTTATTTATTATTCTATCTAATGAATATATTGTATATATATTAGCTAATAATATTTTAATAAAATATTTTTTTTATCTTAGAATTTTAAAAAAAAGTTTGGTTTAATTCAAATCTGATTTAGTTTAAACTTGAATTAAACTAAAAGTTTAGTTTAAAAATTCAAATTCAATTAAAAATTTGATTTAAGTTTAATTCAAATAAATATTTAAAAAATTTTAAGTAATATTGGTACTGGAAAATTTTAGTCAAAGTTAAAATTGAAAATTGAAATTAAAAATAAAATAACTAAAATTTTTCAATAAAGTTTCAATTAATAATTTTATTTTTAATTTTCAGCAACTTTTAATATTAATACTAATTTTAAATAAAGTTATAAATTATAATTAAAGCTATAAATTAATATAAAATAGTTAATATTTAAATAAATATTCAAAAAATTATATAAATTTAAAAATATTTTAATTATTTATAATTTTAATTTACTTTAATTATATTATAGTAAATATTTATTTTTTAATAATAATTATAAATTATTATTTTAAACAAAATTATAACCAAAAATAAGAGTTACAAATTAATATAAAATAATTATTATTAATAATAAATATTTGAAAAATTATAATAGTATTATAATAAAATTTAATAAATATAAAAATAAAAATACTTTAGTTATCATTAAGTAAACTTTTAATTTTTAATAAATATCATAATTATATTATTATTTTAATTTTTTAAATAATATTTATATAATAGAAGATTTTTATATAAATTTTTTTACAGTTATAAAAAGAATATTATAACAAGCTAGATTTATAATTAAAAAAATTATATGATAAGATATTTTAATTAATAATACTTTTTTATTATTATATTTTTTATTATTACTGCTTTATATAATATTTTATAATAGATTATATAAGTATATAATACAAGAATAAAAAAATTACTAGATTATTTCAAGTCTAAAACTAAAATTATTTAAAATAAAACTTAATTTAAAATAATTTTCTACTTTTTATTATAAGATAAAGTACTATTTATATATAATTAAACTTCTTTATAATTACACTTATTTATAGTTATATCTTTTTATAGTTATCTTGTTTTTATATATAAATATAATAAAAAAATCTCTTTATAGTTATATTCTTTATATAATTATCAAATTTTGCTTTTTCAAGAGTAATGACTATAAAGAGGTTTGATTATATAAAAGTAATATTATTAAAATATTTAAAAAATTTTTTATAACTAATACAAAGTTTTTTTATATTTATTTTTTATATCTTTTTTAATTAATAATAAATCTAAATTAAAAAATAAATTAAAAATAAAATATAATGTTCAAAAAAAATATAAATAAATATAAATTAATAAAATAATATAATAATTAATAAAATAAAAAAAATAATCATCTGATAGAAATATAAATAATAAAATATATTATAATAATACTTATAAATAAAGTTATAATTTATATTTAAAACTATAAATATAAATTAATATATAATATTATATACTAATTTTAAATTAAATTCAAGCCAAATTTGAACTTGTATAATAATTTAGTTCAAGTTTAATTTGAATTTTGAATCTTTCTTGAACTTAAATCAAAATCTAATTTAAATTCAATTTAAATTTCAAAGCTAGTTTAGTTTAATTTATAAAAATATTATATATAAATATATTTTTGGTATTTTTAAATATACAAAAATATTATTATTTATTATTTTATAAATAATTTATAATAAGTAAAATATAAAATATAGTAATTAACAGAATTATAGAATTATATATATAATTTTATTAATAAATATAATAAAAATTGAAAGTTTTATCTTATATAAAAGTTTTTAATTTTATTAATAAATATTTTTTAATTTTATATCAAATTAAAAATTATAAGTTATATTTTAAATATATATTTTTTCTGAATTTTTCTTTGGCAAAATTATTTTAATTACAAAACTTTTATAATAACTTTGTAATTAGATCAACTTTGTCAAAAAAATCAAAAAAATATATGATTTTGCATATAATTTCTTATTTATAATCTCAAAATTTCTTATATTTTATTATAATTTATTATAATTATTTTAATTTACTATTAGAACAATACCAAATATTAAATAATTGTTATTTATTAAAGAAATATTTTATCTATTTTTTATTTAATTAAAATATAAGTTATAATTTTGTAAAATCTAATAATTTCTTATTTTTCAAGAATTATTTAATATTTAGTATTTTTTTTATTAATTATTATTTAATTATACACAATGAAAGTTGATATAATAGACCTACTATACTGTTTGATAAATAAACAAATCTACTATAACAGACAAAATTTATATAATATTATTTATAGCTAGTTCCAAAAAATAGAATTAAACTAATTAGATTTTTATCTAAATTTGAGTCTAATTCAAAATTTAAACTAAATTCAAATTAAACTTTAGCTTGAGTTCAAAAAAGATTTAAAATTTAAACTAAATTATTATACAAGTTCAAGTTTAATTTGAATTTAATTTAAAATTAATATATAATATTATATACTAATTTATAACTTTAAATATGAACTATAACTTTAATTATAAATATAATTTATAGTATTTAGTAATAATTAAAAGTTTACTTAATAATAATCAAGTATTTCTATTTTTATATTTATTAAATTTTATTATAAATATTATATAATTTCTCAAATATTTA